AAAGCTTGATACCAAACAGTTGTTGGACAATGGGGGCGATGGCTAATTTAAAAATGTTTTTTTGCTTTTAACACAAACTTTACCGCTCCTTTACGCTCAACGCGTGTTTCCTCGTTTATCGCCATGTAGGGGACTAGACAGTAACTATATTCTGTCCGGTAGTTGTCAAACTTTACAATAGATGACGGTGAGCTTCAATGCGGAGCAAGAAGTTTCAAGTCTACATTCTCGAAAGTACTAGGTCCGCCCGCTGCCTCATATAAAAGCGCGCGTGCCATCCAGCCAGTAATTTTCATTTGACGATATTACGAAAACGAGTGAATTTTGTCATCAGCCAGTTTTTAATACTCGATTCTTCACTACGGCATTTTCGAAGACAAAATTAGGTCGGAAAAAAAAAGAAGAAACAGCAGTATAGCGCGAAATATATAAAATATGGATTTATTGAAAATCTTACAAATCCATCTTCGCCTAGGTGCCTTCTTTGTCAAGAAACATTTTAGAATGAAGATAACTGAAGAGAAATTGGTTGCAGATTACCGAACGCGGTGACTTACGGCTGTTTTTGAGTAAATTCGAGCCTGATATTAACTTCATCCTTCACAATATAATTCTTGAATTGATTAAAAATTACTTGAGAAATAGATATTTCATTGTTAAACATAATGGGAACACTTCGGGAAAATTTTATGCTAATTCCAGTGTTCCTCAGGGATCAAATCTAGGACCTCTTCTATTCTTATTATTCATTAATGATTTACCCTCCGTCTTACAGCATTCACATTGTCTGATGTTTGCAGATGATCTCAAAATTTTTAAACGTATTCAGACTGTTAGAGACTGCGTATCATTGCAAAAAGACATCAACAACATTGTGAATTGGAGTTATACTAATAAGTTATTTTTCAATATAAAAAAATGTTATACGTTAACAATATCCCGTTTGAAAGATGTGATCAAATTTGAATATCATATGGATGGAGAGGTCCTGGGTGAAAAAACCGAGGTGAAAGACTTAGGCATTACTTATAATAGTACTTTTTCCTTCACAAAGCATATAATGGTATTAGTAAAATCTGCAAATCGTATGTTGGGATATTTAATGAGACAAACGCGTGAATTTAATAATATAAATACAATTAAATTACTCTACTATACTATAGTTAGACCAAAACTGGAGTTTGCTTCAATAATTTGGACAGGAGAATACAAAACTACTTTAAAAGAAATTGAAAAGGTTCAAAACAAATTTCTTCGATATCTCTATTTTAAAAAATATCATAAATGGCCCGATTACAATTTAATACGAACATCACGGCTAAGGAGCGGATTCAAAATATTATCATTAGAACAAAGACGCAATTTGTCAGACCTGATATTCATATATAAAATAATTAATAATCGAATTGATTCCCCCCAAATCCTACACTTGATTCCGTTTCATGTCCCTTCACGCCGTACTCGACATATAATTATGTTCAATATTTCTGTGTCAATATCTAGCACTAGATCACCTCTCGCAACCATGTTGATATTAGCTAATGAATTCAATGAAATAACTGATATTGATTAGTCTTTACCATATTCCAAATTCCGTAACACAATACTGAATAATATACTGAATATATCTTCATGAAAATTAAATCTACCTAAATCTGTACCCCAACAGTTCTTATAGTAGGTACGTAATAAAAATATATTTCTTTTTCAAGTTGAATTTACATTGTATATATTGTTAATAATAGGAATCCATGTATGGATCAAATAAATAAATAAATGAATAAATAAGTGCACCCTCCTTCATCCCCACTCCACCTCCAACAGCAAACGCACTTTCTGCGATGGGCGCCAAGAGTTCCGCCTTGAATAAAGGCAAGGAACCGGCTGCCCTTGCAGGAAAGCTCCCTCGCATGTGCACCTCCACGGAGGGAACCCCAAGGAGTTTGAAGAAGCGGCGCAACGACAGTAATGTCGCTGCACCTTCCAAAACCTTCGCGGAGGCCACCGTGAGACACCTCAAGGTTGCCAAAGAGAGTGTGTGTTTGGCGAGTCTTGCCTATACCTGCTACTATAAAGGAGATGACTACTAGTGACCTGTCCACCTTTCTGGAAATCAGAGGATGGACGATGACCTAGGAAAACATTCCTCGGGAGAATGTACAATGGGTCACATGTGGCCTAAATGCTGTGGGTCTACACTCACCCTCCCTACTCTACGGATGCAGAACATTCCTTGAAAACGACCTGAATGAAAAGCGCCAAAAACACATTTGTGCCGCAAATTGTTGAATAATGTTCAACCCAACTTGGTGACCGACTGAGTGAGTTGTTGCTGAGACTCCCAGATATAAACTTCATCATCGCCGTCTTTGCCGATACACTGATGCTATCTGCCGCAGTAGCAGACGAAACATTTCGTACTTTGGGTTTCATCCGACCACAGCCTATCTATTGTAGGTAGGTAGGTCAAAAGTAAGTGGGTCTATTCGACCTTCCACCGCAACCCACAAGGGTTTATTGTGGCTCACACCTATTCATACTCTGCCAAATAAACCCAGCTTCTTAACGGAGCCGATTAGTTTGTATGGTGAGTGATCTTTCACGCCTGTTAGACATCGTAGTTCATCCCTATTGTAGTCCAACAACTGTTTGGTATAAAGCTTCGAAGGGTTAATAAACGCTTTGGAATGAGCCACTCCCGAAAGATTCTGCCAGAAGTCCATGAATCTTTTTGCTATCCAGGTGTTCAGTGTTTGTTTGAAAAAGCCCAAAGCGATGCCAATGACAGGTTCTGGTCCAATGATGCCGCTTGCAGCACCTTCCTTTGCAAGAGAGTCAGCAGCTTCATTACCTTCCAGGCCAGTATGGCCAGGAATCCAGACCAGAGACAATCTGTTAAGTCTTCCTGTCGAGGAGTCATTAACAATTTAGACATTGCTATCCATCGTATTTTTTTTATTATTTCTTTATTTCTTCATCAATATTGCTGTAGGTTCAGAGTTTCTAACAAAATATTCTATATTGGAAAGGGATCACATCAGGGATATTCTATGCATCTTGGTAGCTCCACTGATGAGACCTTTGGTGGGTCACAGAAACGCAATGTGTTGGATCATGAATGCATTGCTTTTGAAAGTTGCATAGAAAGACATAGGGCGAATCTCATTCAGCGGTCGATTTCCATGCTTGGCTTTGCAATAGATTGCCTTTGGAGGTCTAATTTATTCGTGGATCGAATCAATCCTATCGCTTAGTCATCCACCTAACATCAATACAAATTTTGTTTAAGGAATTCCAAAATTAAAATCGATAGTATTTTTGACTGAAATAACTCTGTCCTCCGGTCCAATTAATTACTCAATTCATCTCACTACAGTCGAAAATGTTCACACCTGGTGTTTCATGAGAAATATGGATCACCAACTGAGTTCTCAAAAAATAAAATAACACTTGAGTTTCAATCACATTTATTGAGAAAAATTAATATCACAGTTATGAGTATTCTATAAAACGACGTAAGATCCCGCATAAGGTGAGTAGGCAGTATATCCAGCAGAATATACAGAGGGAGCGACATAACTAGCATAAGCCAAAGGAGCAGGATAGGCAGATGTGTAGGCAACAGGAGCGGCGACAACTGGAGCAGTATAGGCTGCAAACAGGCTAGGATCTGGTGATGCCTTTGGATCAGCTTTTGCTTCAGGAGCGGGGTTAGCTATGGCAACGGCGCAAATGGCAACAAGAATGAACTGAAAATAAAATAATGAGAAAATGTATCATCACTGTGATGTAGAAATATCATTTTACGCTATTGAATATCTGTGAATGAGAAAATGCATATGAACTACGAAATGTTTTCAGATAATCAAATTGGACATAATGAAGTTATACTACATGGGATAAAAAATCTCGAGCCTAACACTAGTACTAACCTCCAAAAGGAAGCTGTTGAAATTTCATGACATTCCACTCATAAGTTTGGGAGTGATTGTGCT